GTATCTATACTTACAGAGTGTAACTGCATTGGAATTTTCACCATGAATAAATGTACTTTGGTCAGGCGGAACTCAAAGTCTTACACAGACTGCCCAGCTCTGAGCTACAAAGTGAAATGTAATTTTAATTTTTATTCAATGGTTTCCAAAATGGATTGGCTGATTTTTTTTTCCAAAACAGCATTTCTAAAATTTATACTGCAGACAACTGCGATATTGCTTACATGAGCATATTCAATGTACAGTATACTCCAAAATGAATATGATAAAAAAATCACATTTGCCTGTCATATGTACAAAGCAGCTAACAAAAAGTATTTGAACTGAGCACACATAATATCCTTCTGTTTGATCACATCATTTTAGGAGCATACGGGATATTCACAAATAATGTGAAATTGTGCTATGCTGCTGTGTCAAGCATCCCTCCTAATCAACATAATCCACAGGGTTGTCAGACAGCTATAATCACCCAAATCTTTGTATACCAAATTTGAATATTGGAAAATGTTTTATTTAAAAAAAATATCTTAAATTTTATATATTTATTTACTTATTCTTTTTCCATTGCTTAACACCACCAAGTGACTCTGGACTGCTTACAATTCTAAAATTATAAAACAATGAACAAACATTTAAACCCTAAACACCCATAAAATTAATAAATACAAACGGCTGTCCTTGTCTTGAGACCATCATTGAGCCCAAAATGTCAGTTGCTAAGTGAGATATTGGTTCAATGAGTTTTGCCCCATTTTATGACTTTTCTTGCCATTGTTGTCGAGCAAAACACTGCAGCTGTTAAAGTTGGTGACATGGTTGTTAAGTGAATCTGGCTTCCCCACTGACTTTGCTTGTCGAAAGGTCACAAAAGGTGATCACATGACCCACAACCGTCATAAATGAGTCAGTTGCCAAGCATCTGAATTTTGATCATGTGACCCTAGGAATGCTGCAAAGACTAAAAGAGTGAAAAATAATCATAAACCACATTTTTCCAGCTCTGTTAGAACTTCGAAATGTTCACTGAATGAATTGTTGTAAGTCAAGGACTACCTTACATAGCCAAATTTTTAAAGCTTTGTAAAAAGCCAAAATAGGATCATTGTATTTGAATATTCTAAGTGAATAACCAAAGAGTTTAATCCAACTAGCACAATTATTTGACTCTAATAATAATGCGTCTATTGAGGAATTCTACACTTAATATAGGCAGCAAAAATTCTTGCACTTCATACTGTTCAGCTGCTCTCAGTTTTTCCCTTTCAGCTTCTTATATTGAACTGGCATTTGCTTTAAATATTGTCCTGTTTATATAAAGTATATAGAGTACTGGTAGTCCTTGTCTTATGGCCACAATTAAGCCCAACGTTTCTGTTGCTGAGCGAGACATTTGTTAAGTGAATGTTGTCCCATTTTACAACCTCCCTTGCCCCAGTTGATAAGTGAATCACTGTGGTCTGTTAAGTGAGCAACATGGTTGTTAAATGAATCTGGCTTCCCCCATTGACTTTGCTTGTCACAATGTCTCAAAAAGGTGATCACATGACCCTGGAATCATGCAATTATCATAAAAAAAAATGAACCAGTTGCCAAGCAACTGAATTTAGATCTCATGGACCATGGAGATGCTGTAATGGTCATTAAGTGTGAAAATCGGCCGTAAGCCATTTTTAATGGTCGTGTGAAAAAGAGTCATATATTTTTTCATGGGCATGCTGCAATGGTCATAAGTCACTTTTTTCAGTGCCACTGTTACTTTGAACAGTCACTAAACAAAACTGCTGTAAATCGAGGACTGCCTGTATATTCTGGAGTTGGGAGGAATCATTTTGTTGCCCTTACATCTGTGCAGCCAGAATTCTTAAAAAGCAGCTGATTTCTTGAAATAAATCGAGATCTACTGTTTCCCCATCCGCTAAAGCAGGGCTCTCCAAACTGGGCAACTTTAAGACTTGTGGACTTCAACTCCCAGAGTTCTTCAGCCAGAGTTCCTCAGCTTTGCTGGCTGAAGAACTCTGGGAGTTGAAGTCCACAAGTCTTAAAGTTGCCCAGTTTGGAGACCCCCCGCACTAAAGCTACATTGTACCATTCAAAGCAAAACGAAACTCTCGTTTCCCACAACTGGCTTATAGTAGCAGCAGGACAGCCGAAGCGAGGCTACAATGGAGCGGCCCCAAGCTTAAGAAGAGCCACGAGGGTTGTTTCTCTACCCTCCATTGGGGTCGCCCCTAAGGTCCCGTCTGAAAAAGCTCGGGCCCCGCCTCCGGCGAAGCAAACTCGTCCAGCCTGGCTGTGGCGAAAGGGGAGGTCGGAGGAAAGGGAAAGGAGGCCGGGGCCTACCTCTGCAGCGACATCTTCCGCTGAAGGTTCTCGTCCGCCCCGCTCGGAGCGGCTTCCGTCGCGCCCGCCATTGCTTGGGCGCCGCGATCGGGCCGCAGCCTAGACTGGTACGACGCGGCTCGCGAGAGCGCGAGACACCGCCCCCTAGCGGAAGATGTCGAAGCATCGGGAAGAAGCCCCGCCCCCTGGATGGCGCAGCGAGAGTTTGAGGGTTATGCTTGAGATGCCTGGTAGTGGAAACGGAGGTTGTGGGGGCAGGCGAATCGTTCCTGGCAGAAACCTGGGCAGGGAAATGGTGATGGAGGACTTCCTCTTTTCTTGCTGAGGTGCAGGAATCATGTAAAAGTGGTTGCTGGTGCAATTTGGCCGTAAGGCAGAGAAGACCGCAATGAGTAGTAATGGTTTTGATAACGGGGTGTAAAAGGAATTGTCCCTTTAACACGTGAAATGTGATTCCTGATAAGCTTCCTTATTCCTGAGTGGATCAAAAAGGAAATGAAGCGTTTTAGCTTTCTTTCTTTCTTTCTTTCCTCTTTCTCTCTCTCATCAATGTATAGGGCATTCCCTGCACTAGATGCTCGTGTTAGTATTTTATTTTATTTTTAATGAGACTTGTGGTTCCAAACACCAGCTTCTGAGAACTTGTTTCTTGAGGTCTGCACAGGGTGGTTGGAAGGACCATGTTCTAGAGACACTTTTATTAATTCTCTGCTGCTCTCCTGCTGTAGCAGTGCAAGAGAAGAACAGAGTTGGAGGAGAGGATTGCTGTTATTGGTTCTGTCTATTGAACCAACACATTTTTCTGCAATAAACATGTCATAATCACCACTAAGGTGTGGTGATATTGGTTAAGGAAGGGCAAATAAATTAACAGCAAATTTACTGAATTTCTGGACTTCTCTTATCCTGGATAATTTAAATGATGGATGGATATGTTGTCCTGTCTGTGGAGGGCTTTAAGGAAGTCAGCATTTGACTTTTTAAAAGTATGATGCTCCTTATAATTTTTATATAGAAAAAGTCCTTAGCAAATATTTGGAATGAAAAGTAAAATAACTACAGCATTTTTGCCTCTCCTTCATCGCAGTAAAAGCTGCTAAATGAAACATTGCCCTAGATAAGAATTATTTTGGGGGAAACCTCAGCCATAGACCCAATTATTCCTTGAGATGGGAGACTTCCAGGGAAAGCACGAGGAAAGTGTAAAAACATCTTGGCAACAGTAATAACAAAACTATCTATATGATGGAGCCCTGGGTGCTTTCTGAGCTTGGCTGTTTGCTTGCAGAAGTTTCATTAGATTAGGTATTAGTGCTAGTCAGTGTGGGGCTTGCTCCCTGTTTATAGTTTGTCCTACCAGTGTTGGTGAGTATGGTGTATTGTTGCCAGAAAAACAGTATGTCTATATCCATGAAGTCAGTAATCAAGCTCAACAGGAAGAATAACAGAGTAACACTTGGAGGTCTTCTAGTCCAGGGGTCTCCAACCGTGGCAACTTTAAGCCTGGAGGACTTCAACTCCTGGAATTCCTGAGGTGAATCTGGCTGGGGAATTCTGGGAGTTGAAGTCCTCCAGGCTTAAAGTTGCCATGGTTGGGGATCCTTGTTCTAGTCCAACCTGATGCTCAAGCAAGAGACCACACCACCACCACTACCACCACCATTGTTAATATTTCAGAATGGTCTAATACCAGGAACGGTTCAGAAGCAACATGGGAAATGACATCATTCACCAATTGATGAACCGTTACATCCAAAGATATAAAATTCTTTGTATAATTGCAGAATAAGTACTTCCAGATTCGGATAACTATGAAGTCATATGACTTGGTTCCAAGTTGACTCTTAATTTTAAATAAACATGATAGTAACAAAATTAAAGATTTCTGTCTATTTAGAGGATAAGGGTTTTTTTTCTGGAACAAGAAACTTAGAATTATTAAAAAATAATTTATATTTTATAAATCACCAAAGTCTTGTGATAAAAACAAAATAAGAACATATTTGGCTAATAAAAGGTAAAAAAAGAGTTACTCTATAAAACTTTGATATTTAAAATAACATGAAGGTTGAATAACTGATTTTTGATTCTGTATCATCCATATAGAGCAGGACTAATCAACTTGTGCTTTTCCTTTTAACTAGTCCCTGTTGATCCAATAAGGATACAGCAGTTTATCTAGATTTGCAAGTGGTCAGGCTGCATATACTAGGAGTGTAGCTATGAATTCATGGGTAAAAATGATGTCTGAAAAAGCATATCAGAGAAAACTGGTGTAAAGATGTGTTTCCTTTCTGAGACCAAAAAGATGCTTTAAACCTTTATTTTTGCCACTGCTTGAAGTTATACATTCTAGATTTTATTCTGCTGACCATTACTGTTTAGTAAATTGTTTCAGATTCATGTTGCAATTAGCTTATTTAAATGCATAGTACCAGTAACAAATTAATCTATCTCACCCCATCCCATCTAAAGGGAAGCAAGGTTGGCCTGTTTTCTTTGAAGTGAATATTAAAGTACCTGATATTTATTTAAACATTGTTAAAAAGCATGTATGAGAAATTAATAAACATACGAAAAAAAACTATTTGGCACAAAACCACAAAATTTCCAAAGTGACTTATTTAAGAGTATAATTTAATAGCGATTTAAATATATGCTATATTAAGATTTTTAACAGTTACAAAATATTTACACAAGATATAATTATAGATTGCCCTGGAAAGTTAACATCTTTAACACCATTGTACGTAGTCCTTCTACAAGTACAAAATTCTGTTCTTTTTATAAGCACCAAATATATCTGTCCCATCCATTTCATGTTACAGACAGAAATATTTTCAAACAAGGTTTTCACATAAATTAATGTTTTCAGTAATCATGAACAATGTGACCAAATATTTTTAAGACATAATTTTATACAATGAAGAGTTCCTTTGATGTAACCAGCACATACAGCCTAAAAAAAAAAAGTAAAGGAAAAAAAACACTTTTATGTTATATATGGAGCGCCAGGCCACACAAACAGGAAACACAAAAGAGGTAGTGGATCATCTGTGAAGATGTTTGTGTCCGAAAAGGACCATCATTCAACTAAAGTGTTTAAGGGATTTTATGGTGGCGTAACTCATTGTCAGTATAACATAAGCTATTGCACATTTGGGAGCATAAAACCATACTGCTCCTTTTTACTGCATTCTTCCATCTTTCTTTAAGGTGTCCTGGACAGTGCTGTTAATAAAATCAAGAAGAATTTCCATATTTGCATATTCTTTGGTTCAGAGAATATCATAAAAAGCACCAACCAAAAATTAAATATTTTAGTAATGTTGTCAAAGTTTCTGAAGCCATTTCTCCTTCATAGGAGGAAGTCTTTTTCTTCCTGAGATTCTTTAAGAAATCACCAGCATGTTGCTGTACAATTGTTCCACATTTTCGTAATTATTTCTTGTGTCCTGTATATGGCGATATGAGGTTTACTCAAAATTCTAGAGAAAGCACACCAAGCCACTTTCTATGTATCGCTGTTGTCCCTGATTGAGATGAGAAAATGGACGAACCTGAACAACCGGTAGTTGATTGGTTTCTTGAGTGTGGAAAAAAAATTGAGTTTTGTGCCAGTTGCCATCTTGAATCTGCAATAAAAGAAATCTTAAAATCATACAAGATTTTAATTCTGTTTAATTTTTACAGGGAAAATCAAGAAAGAAGACTTATCATCAAGGATATGTAAATGTTTGCATAATTATGTGCATAAACAACTATTTTGGAAAGTGTGTTTTAACAAAATATCTATTTTAGATGTTTTGATCTGAACTGAAAATAAGTTTTCATTTAGTTACAAACTAAAATGTTATTCTAGGCAGAATTGGATGGGGGGGAAAATTGGACAAAGCCATACACAGAGGACAAGGAGAGACAGGGAAGTGCATGGTATGGGAAAGCTAGAATATTCTGTTTAAGGACATCAGCAGCAATCATGGCTGAAGTAAAAGAGGGAAGTGAAGGCAGTGGGCAAAATAGGACTGGGGGGATATGGAGATGCTGAAGGCATACTTGCCTTTCCTGATTCACCACATAGGAATTGCTTGGTATATTGTTTAATGTGAAATCTAACATAACCAAAATCTTCTGGATTTTGATTCTGCTGACCTGAAATGGCTCAGCAGTGTACTACTTCACAAGCAGTATTAGGTGTTCTGCTTTCTTGCACCAGCTCAAGACAAAAGCGTCTGTTTAAGCACCTGAACAGCCAAAAATTTGGCTAAAATTCATTAAAACTTAGAAAAAGTATAGAGAAGAGCAACCAGAATGATTAGGGGACTGGAGACTAAAACATACGAAGAAGGGTTATAGGAACTGGTCATGGCTAATCTAGGGAAGAGAAGGACCAGGGGAGGCATAATAGCAGTCTTCCAATATTTGAGGGGCTGCCACAGGGAGGAAGGGGTCAAGCTATTTTCTAAAGCACCCAAAGGCCAGACAAGGAATAATGGATGGAAACTGAACAAGGAGAGATTTAACCGGGAAATAAGGAGAAACTTTCTGACAGAACAAAACCAATGGAACAGCTTGCCCTCGGAAATTGTGGGAGTGCCATCACTTGAGACTTTCAAGAAGAGATTGGACTGCCATTTGTCAGAAATGGTGTAGGGTCTCCCGCTTGGGCAGGGGGTTAGACTAGATGACCTATAAGGTCCCTTCCAACTGATTATCTGTTATTTAAAAAGGCTGCATCATTTCTATTCAGATCATGTTGCTTTTATTAATCAGTTCATTATACTTTTTCCATTGAAAATGTGGGGAAACTACAAATGTCAAATATTTTTAATATGATATAGTGGGCAACATTTTTATGGTTGGAGTCCCTGCTTAAAATTTGAGGGGGAAGGTAAAGGCCGTAGCATAGTGATACAATGAAAATGAGGACACACTACAGGCAGTCCTCGACTTACGACCACAATTGAGCTCAAAATTTATGTTGCTAAGTGAGACAAGTGAGTTTTGCCCCATTTTAATATTTTTTCTTGCCATAGTGGTTAAGTGAATCACTGCAGGTATTAAATTGGTAACATGGTTGTTAAATGGATCTGGTTTCCCCATTTACTTTGCTTGTCAGAAGATCGCAAGAGGAGATCAAGTGACACGGGGACACTGCAACCATCATAAATGTGAATTTTGATGACATGGCCATGAGGCTGCTGCAGCGGTCATAAGAATGAAAACCAGTCATAAGTCATTTTTTTCAGTGGAGTAGTAACTTTGAACGGTCACTAAATGTAAGTTGAGGATTACTTGTACATGGAGGAAATTAAAAATATGGGGAGAAGTTGTTGCAAAGTTTTAAAAGGATAACAGACTTCCCTTACTATTTAAGATAATCTTATTTAGCAGAGCCAGTTCAGTGTAATGTTTAAAGAACCAGCTTAGAAACTGGGAAACCATGAGTTCTAGTCCTGGCTTGGCATGAAGCTGGTTGGGTGAGTTTGGATCCATCATTTTCATCTCTAAAAACAAGGCAGTGGCAGACTACTTCTGAAAATTGCATGCACTAGTGGTTCAAGTATTTGCCAGGAAGCAAAACTCATTTGCACCATTACCAATTAAAAAACCCTTATTATACACTATCATTTCCATTTGTTTCCTGTAATCTCCAATTTCTAGAAATTACAGTCAATGGATGTTTCCTTATAAACAGTATGCTAAGCTACCTGGAAGAACAGTGGATATAAATGTAATAATAAATGTTGGAAAACTATTGGAAAACTAAATACTGGAAGAAAAATATTTATTTCTACTTCATTTTCTTCCAAAAAGAGCTTTCTGTTCTTTTTGAGCTTGTCATCCTGCCATCTATTTGCAAACTATTTGCAAAATTTATAAGAATTACAAAAAAAAGTAGAAGTATTTGGAATACAACTTTTAGTCCATAAACCAGAGGTGATTCAATACTCATGGGGGGAAAAAGAATTCTTCGAAGTTTCCATGAATAGTCATGAATATTTTAATTTAAAACACAACTTTCATTTTAAAATTATTATTTTATGATTGTCTTTATTTTGGGTACATACACAATAGAAACAGGCATTCATGGAAATTTTGAATTTGGGCAGAAAAATGTATGAGCTGGTGTAAAAGAATCTGATCTGCATCTCTTGTTCCTTTGCAGAATTAGAGAGTGCAAATATCTACAAAATTTTTGAATGTATAACAGAAAATGGAGTGAGTCCTAATGTATCTTGCACACTGGAATCAATCTGTTGAACATAGGCTGCAAAAGTTAAGCTACCAAGGATACAGAATGTTAGGCTTCTGTTTAAGAATATCCACATTTTAAATCATAGCTAATAATCTCTAGTGTCAATCTCAGTTTTTATAGATTTTCTAAATTCATTATAATCTATAATATAAACATTTAACATTTTTAGTTGAATGTTTAAGAAATGGAATCCATATTGTTTGTGGCCAAAATGCATACATAAGAAAATTGGAATGTATTCTTTGTACTAACATTTTCAGTAATGACTACATATGGCTTACCATGCATCCATCCATTATAACTTTTGGTTCAATCAGCGTGTTTGCTTCAAATATATCACCATTCCATCCTTTGAAGATCAGAGAAGATTTCTGTTCATGTAGTTCATTAGTTTTCCACACAGGGGTATTCAGGCAATGAACTGTAATAGTATGGGTTGCTTCTGAACTAAGTAAATGAAGGAAGTTCATCTGTACTTTTTCAATGCCAAATTCCAACTATTCAACAAAAACAAACATTATTAAATAAAATATGGTGGCAGTTCATAACCACAAATCATACTGACACTGTTCAGTTTATATATACTTAATATATAATTATTCATTAAAAATTCCATTGCAATAACAAACTATTGGTATTTAATCTGTTAAATTATTCAGGCATAAGCATATCCCTTCCTTTTGTTACAAAACCGGATTTACACAATATAAATATGAGGAGGAAGATTACATAACGCGAATGGAAAAAACAACACTGCATACTTTGCTTTTCTAATTGTTGTTTCCATATGGACCTTGTTTGGGACCTTACTTTGACATTTGGCTTGAATTTTTAATGGTTCTTCAAATTACATAGCTGTCCATTTCAGGTTTAGAACAATCAGACTTTATTTTTTTAAAGGCCATTTTCATCTTGTTTTTCCTCTTTGTTTCCACTAAGTTCACTAAATGTTTTAGGAAATGTGATGCAGGCACAGGGAACAAAAGAAATTATTAAATAATAGTACCACTATACTAGTAATGAATAAGGTTTTGTTCTCTGTGTAACCCTAAAGCTTGGTAAGGCCCTAATCTAATCTTGCCAATTTGTAATAATTCTCTGGAAATTATTTCTGAGTAAGAATGTATAAGACTGATGGGTTGTACATCTATACTATAAATCATAGCTTGCCTCTTTTTTTCTTTAAACATTCAGATAAGAACATGTGTTTAATTCATGAGCAAATATGTTCCATCGCAAGAGGTTCTTATTACAAAGTTCCCTATGTGTTATCTTCCTCTACCTATGAGCAGCTTAAGCAAGAGGGAAGACATTTTTAATGATTCGGTAGTCAAATTCCATAGGAAAATTCCAACTCTTATAAATAAAGAAAATAGTAAGAAGACAAGTGTATGGTTGTTGCCAAAGTGATCTTACCTTTGTGACAGATACAGGAGATAAACATGTCTGGCCACCAGCAGTGAAGTTGCAGAAAACCTCAATGGCATCTGAAGGACACCCAATATTTGGATCAATCCAATATTTTCCTGTCAGTTGAAGAAATAAATGCAGACAAATTCTAAAATATATTTTTCACCTGTGAAAACCCTAGTTTCTTAAACAGAAAAGTCTTCAATCTTAAGTTTTCTTCTGCCCTTATGTGTTTTCAGATTCCAAAAATAGGGGAGAAAGAAGATATACACTTAATGTTTGATTACTGACCGCTCATTCAGTGACCAAAGTTCCAATGGCACTGAACAAAGGGTATTTAAAACTGATTTTCAAAATTCCAGCCATCACAGTATTACCATGGTTATATGTTTGAGATTTGGATGCTGGGCAAACAACTCTCATTTAGAATGTCCTGTGGTTATGTGATAGCCATTTGCCAACTTGCCTACCAGCTTCTCACAAACAAAGTAAATGTGGAAGCCAGCAAAGAATTTCAAACTTGCTTTTATAAGTCTCCACCCCACCTCCCAAATTCCTGCATACCACATCCTCTTTGCTCTTGGACACACCCATGTTCTCCTCCCCTCAACATTGCTGAATTCACACATTCTCCTACCCTGCACTTGTACTCTCACCCTCCTTCCCTTGACCTTCCTGTGTTTGTACGCACCTGTTGGACTTTTGCTGCTTCTTAATGATCCATACATGGATCTTGATATTTCAAAGGCAACTGGGATTGCCTGGATTGTTGTTGCTACGCAAGATCATGTGACATAGGGCTTTATGATCATAGCCTTGGCCCAATTTGCTGCTGTAACACAAGGACTACCTATAACTGTACTGTGGCTCAACTATATCCAATTGAGTTGTGAGTAAAAGATGTAATACTGTTCATTTTTCTTTGTAATTATTATTTCTGTAACTATAGTCAAAGACACTACAAATATCTTGTGTTAATAAGGAGAAGATTATTTCTTTATGTGTATGTTTCCAGATTTCACAACGCTGGCAGAATCATACTATTATAGAATTCGAAACTTTGCAAAACAGGAAAGTCCTTTGGATTTAAGCAGTATCTTAGGCCAGCAAGTTGAAACCAGCTAGATTATGAAGGAGGTATATACAGTGGTGGGATTCAAATAATTTAACGACTGGTTCTCTGCTCTAATGATTTCTTCCAACAATCAGTTTACCAAACTGCTCAGAAAATTAACAGTCGGTTCTCCCGAACTGGCTGAATCCCATCACTGGGTATATACCGTATGTATATTTTAGAGAATAAACTTTGCATATAAAATCATGTACAAGCTATGCAATTTTGGCCATAGCATCTGAAATAAAAATATATGAATCTTATAGAAAATAGACAATTCTATAATAAAAAAACCAAGAGTTCAGTTGCTGTGGATCTTTGATATCAAACAATCTCTGAATTCTAAACAAAGCAAAAGCTGAACAAAATTTAAGACTTATTTAATTTTCAATGTTATTGGAAACTTACCATTAGACACTTTACGTTCACAGTTGAGCAAATCTCTGCAGATACGTGCTGGATTATCTCGGGTTCCCAACGGGTTTTTGATGCTATGGAGCAAATTGCTCAGATAATGTAGTGTTTTGAATATTTTGGCACTGTGATCCAAGAATGTCACTTCAGTGTTCTGATAATTCTGCCAAAGGGAGGGGGGAATTATATTATTGCAAAGAAATGTCAATGTACTGGGATACAGTCAATTACCAATCTAAACACTACCTATAATTGAAAATCTGGATTTTCTGATTTATGACAAATACTGCAGAAAAATAAGCTAAATGGTGGGAAAAGGTATGCCTCATATAAAAGGTCTTTGAATATTTGTTATAATTTGGATCTGACTTGGTAATAATATGCTCTTTTAAAAAATATTAATATAGCAATTGATTATTTTCTGAGTATGTGTCAGCACAGTGCTATGGCTGTAAAAAAAGACAAATATAATTTTGGCTCAATATAGCTATCCTTTTCTAGATTGCCAGAAATAATAATTTCACTTTGTGTTGGCTGGACAGCAACCCCCATTTCCCCCACCTCCCATCCCCATTGCCCAACTATTGCCTCTAGTCCAGAGCACCATACTTGAGGGCATCAGACAAACTGGAATAGACTAAACGAAGAGTAACACAGATGATTAAGGGACTAGAAATTACGTTTTATGAGATGAAAAGAACTGGAAAAGTTAATGCTCTTTAATTAGATAGTGGACATCACTCAGTAAGATTAGTATCTTTTTTCTATTACCCTGGTGTGCAATCTGTAGAATACTGGACCTGAAGTGACAGGACACAAATTCTAATTTAATGTTAGAAAAATCTTCTAAATTTCCCAAAGACCAATTTGAGAATGGAAAAAATTATTCAGACTGATGATAAGTTTACACTTGTTTACTACCCAGTGGAGCTGGGTAGTATATGTCATAGTTGATCTAATTTGGCTCCCTTCATGGAGGAACCATCAGGATTGACCTAAGTAGTTCCTTCCATTTTTATACTTTATGGTTTTGCTATATCATGTTTGGTTCCAATTCCTGTTTATTCCTTTTCTATATTAAAAAGCCCTGATGCTGTAACATGTCCTCACAAAATAAGGTCATGTCATCTCTCTCTCTCTCTCTTTTTTTTTTACAACCACCTAAATAATTTTGTTAACAGTTGTATGATGTCTTAAGCATTTAGATTAAAAGGTTCATATATTTTCTAGTTTGCCATTCAAAGTTTCCCCCCGCAAATTAATACATTATTTGAAAATCTGTAATAAAATAAAGCCTTTAAAAATTATGCATTTCTTATTCTTGAAATGGTTATTCTAATGTGTATAATTTATCAGTTTCAATGTGCAAATATTGTTACCTCCATTTCTAAGGCAGCATTTGATTCAAGCAAGGCTTGAATAGTGGCACTCATGTCTATTTGTTTCTGCATAAAATCAAAATGTTTCTTATCAGTAATATCATTGTCAAGAAATTTAAAATCAATCATATACATCTTTTTACAGAATCAAGAACAGTTATTAGGTATGCAAGGACACCAAAATCTCATTATATTATTTACATTTTATACTTTAAGTAAGCTCCAGGGCATTCAAGAAAATTGCAATGCTGAACTGCAAAGACTTCAGGAAAGTGCTTGAGATATTGACAGCCCACAAATTTACAGGAACTGGAGGCTTTTTGCCAGGAAGAATGGTCAGTTTTAAGATCTGAGAAGATAAAGAGCCTCATCCACATATACTACAAAAGACTTCAAGCTGTCATTGATGTTAAAGGGGGCAACACACCATATTAAGAACTGGGGTATGTAAACTTTTGGGTAGTTTCTGTTGTCATTATGATTTAAAAAGAGTAAACACAGTTGATTGATAATAAATGGCTTCAGCCAACCACTAACCATGAGTGAAAGAAAAGTTTTTGTGTTATCATTCATATTCTCTGAAAAATGGCCAAGAAATTATAAATTCTGCCAGGGTATGTAAAATTATTTATTTATTTTTATTTGTCAATTGCTTACAAGATAATAGGTATAAGTAAAAACATAGTTATGAATACATGGATACATATAAGAAAAATATAAAAATATAAAAGAAACAATAGGACAGGGACAGTAGGCACGTTGGTGCACTTATGCACGCCCCCTACAGACCTCTTAGAAAAGGGGTGAGGTCAATAGTAGACAGTCTAAGTTTTTGGGGTTTGGGGAAAACAGTCAGGTACAGTATTCCAGACACTGACCACTCTGTTGCTGAAGTTGTATTTCCTGCAATCAAGTAATCAAACTTGTGAGTACAACTGTATTTCAAACTGGCAATTGTGTATTGATTGTACATTCCCTTAAATTAAATCAGTCTTATTTCCAAGACAATTTGCACAGATGCTGTTCTACATGTTATCTGTACAATGAGCATAACCTTTTATGTATTTATTAAATTTATTTGTCACTCATATCATATCAAAATGACTCTGGGCAGCTTTTAAAATAATGCAAAAGGAAGCAGAACTATAGCAGGATTAAATCATTTCCATTTAAATGGTAACTGTAGAGTTTCAAAGGTTAGGTCAGTATCCTATAGTTTTATTACCCAGTAATAAAGTTATTCTAACAAATAAATGGAACTTACTCTTGGTCCAGGTGCTCCTGGGGGACCCTAAAAACAAAAGGGAAAAAGAAAGTTTACAAGATTGTATGTTATATAAATTAGGAGTTATTCAATTATATCTTTTGATAGTATTTTGATTTCTTACAGGCAGACCTGGACGACCGCGGGGTCCTTGAGGGCCCTGAATGAAAGAAGAGATGATAAAAATGTCTGAATAAGAGTAAGATTACTTTAAATCTTCATGTATTAGTTTGTAATTCAATGTAACTTAATTCAAATATTATAGTAAATGTAAATGGACTGAATTAAATAGGAACTATATTTGTGACTTATTGAAAGATTTCTCAACATGCTGTAGGCCATTTGTCTACGTTCCTAAAAGTATGTACTATGTATTTATAAAGCTATTGTGTACTATTTGTTTTAAATCTACAATCCCTTCTAAAATATGGCAACCCAATAAGACTGGATAAGTAATATTATTTTATTTTTCATTCCTTGTATACATTTGGAGGTCATTTAGAATTGATTAATTAAATTATACCAGAGACACAAGCATCAAGAAGTTTGCATAATCCCCAGTCAGTTAAAAGGTTACTCTAAAACAAATCCATGCATTACATGCTTAACTTATTAGCAGTGCATAACTAATGCGACTGCCAGACGCAATGGTCTGAAAATCTATTTTACAGAAGATAACATTTATTACCCACAGAAGGATAAATATTTCCCAAATTTACAAGCTTCATAAGAAAATAAATTCGCACTGCTGTTGAATAATGTCAGACTTGAGTAATTGTGCTGCACTCATAGCCCATAGTACTTTTTTTTCTTCCATTAAATTGTATCCAATTCTTGGACACCACCTGGACAAATCCCTGCAGTTTTGTTAAGTTTTTCAGAAGTGGTTTGTCACTGCTTCTTTTCTAAGGCTGAAAGAAAGTGACTAGCCAAAGGACATTCCACTGGCTTTGAGGCCAAGATGGGACTAGAATTCAGAGTTCCCAATTTCTAGCCTGGTGCCTTTAACCACTACATCAAACAGCTTCTTATATAGTACATAAACAGATACTTAAAGACTTATATAAAAAAGCCTAAAAATGTTGCATAAGTTAAGTGGTTAGATTAGGGGTGTCAAAATCAATTTCATTGAGGGCCACATCAGGGCTGTGGTTGACCTCGGGGGGGACAGATGGGCGTGGCCGACTGGGTGGGAATGGCTAGCTTGACACCACTCCCCAAACTGCTGGAATGTTTCTTCTTCGCATTGGGTAGACCGGACCGACAGCCTGATCTTTCCTCTTTGCATTGAGTAGACTGGGCCGAAACTATGTTGTCCTATCTTTCCTATTCACAATGGGTAAACTGGGCAAAAGCTATGCTGGCCTGATCTTTGTGCTGAGTAGACGGGCCAATCTTTCCTCTTTGCATTGGGTATACCAAGATGGCCCCGCGGGCCGGATCCGACCACATCGCAGGCCAGATCCGGCCCACGGGCCTTGAGTTTGACACCCCTGGTATGGAATGTTATATACCCTAAGGACAGGGGTGGGATTCTACCAGTTCTCACCTATTCGCTAGAACTGATTGTTAACATTCTAAGCAGTTCAGAGAACCAGTTGATAGAAGAAATTACTGGCCTAATCCTGTAAGGAAGGCAGGAAGGAAACATTCTGGTGCTGCTTACAGAAACTGCCTCTCTGTTAACCCTTATTACATTCTTGGCAGGACTAGATTTCCTGTCTCAGGAATTTCTCTGTAGTTATTTTCCCCTCCTTTGCTGGTACTTTGCTTGTGTGGAATGACCATTTAAAGTTACAATGGCACTGAAAAAAGTAACTTATGACAATTTTTCATTTACGACTGTTGCAGCATCCCCACAGTCATGAGAGGCCAGGTGAGGAGATGCATGCCTCGATGTGAGTGATATTGAGTTGGCCATGTCCAACCAATAACATGACCACCAACCCATGGCCACCCAGTCACATGGCCACCAAGCTATGCCCACCAATTAAGCCATTCCCACAGAACCGGTTGTTAAAAAATTTGAATCCCACCCCTGCCCAAGGATAATGGAAATAAACAAATTTCAGAGTAACCACCTTGTCTGAAATCAGCCTTTATGCCAACTATTGCTTTTTAGTGAAGTTCTGTGATAACAGGGTAGAAAGACTACACTTCTCTTAAAATGTGAGATAAAAGGGAAAAAAAGCAAGAGTGATCCTGAGGTAAAAATATCTTGGAAACCAATGGAAATAATAACAAGTTTCTTTCAATGTTGTATTTTGTTAGCTTAGATCACTACAGTGTTTTCATATGCTTCTAAAGGCAGCAAATATGCTTTACTTTAATTGTATTACATTATTTTTATTCTGGACTGGGCAATGACCATAAATTTATCACTGCTGAACCTGAAGTAATCTCAGTTCTTCAAGATGGCTGACTTGGGGGAGCACAGCTGTTGCAAAGTGCTTTCATTCTCACCCTACCCTAGAAATGTTCTTTGATTTCCTTATCAATTCATAGAAAGAAATAGAAACTGTTTAACAAAAACTTTTCTGCACCACTTTAAGAAAAATAGTTGTTGAAAAAACTTAGGAACTGGGAAATTATGTAAGCAAATTATGTAAACAAAATGATCCAGACAATACCCTGTTCACAAAGCACTTATGTATGTAAAGAGAAAACATATAAACTATTAAAAGAAAAAAAACTTGTTCAAAAGTAAATAACAACAGGATCTAGAAAAGATGACAATTTTTCCTCTACCCTCTGAATAATACAATCAGATGTAGTACGGAACTGAATGAAATTCTCTTAATGGTTTTCAACATAATTGGAAATAAAATTTTCTGCTCTTGTGAAGGCTAAACTAATTGCTTTGTGCTGCCAAGAATTTATGTGTAATTCGTCTCTGACAAGTCTCATGCAAAGAATGTCAAGATGGAAGAAAGCATCTAATTGCCATGACCTGAAGATTAAATCATACTGATGCCGATTTTCCCCTGCAGCTCACTGGAAATACCATTAGCACGAAGCTAGTTTATGTCAAAGTAACAGCAGATAAACCACAAAAGTATCTTTAGACACTGAACAAGTACAATAAAATGAAATGCCTAAAGCTCAATCCTAAATGCATGTAGTAGAAAGAAATACAATTGACAATAATGGACTTAAGCCTTAGGACTGTCTGGTCTCCTCAGGACTAGAAAATAGTTTTTTACAAGACCAGTACTTGTTTTGAAAGTTGCCATGAGTCTGAACATGATTAAGATTTCTACTTTTCTCTTGCATGGGAAAAACATTATTGATAATATCTAATATTCCTTATGGAAAAAGTGAAAAATGACCTTGTGATTTATCAGTTTAAAAATCAGAAGGGGTAGTATATGTAAAGAAGGAAATTGTGATATAACTTTAAGAGAGATACAGGTTAAAATACAAATGTATTTATGATCATTATCAAAAAGATTGGATCCTGCTTTTACCTTTTTGAAATTTTCTTTTTCCATTTTCTTTTTTATTTATATTAGTCCTTATTTTCTTGTTTTCTTTTTAATATTTCTACTACTTTTTTCTTGTTAAAAATTTCTTCAGTAAAAATTATATTAAAACACTAATATATTAAAAGCATGTGAAGTTTGCTTTCTTGTCAACTAATTATTACCTTCCAACATTTAGAATTGAAGGTGATAGATGTGACATATGAAAAATATGCATTATTTGTCCATAAAAGATATAATAATAAACACATCTCGATAAAGTTACTTCATCAGGGTTGGCCTAAAACATTGGGATTGGCACCAAGCATATGCTGCGTTCATACGGATATGCATTCCAAAATTCTTTGCAATTTGTGCACATATTCCAATGATAGCTCACCCTTTCTTCTAAGAGGTCATGCAGGGATCTTGCCTCATTTTATCCCCATAACTTTGAGCTAGCTTGGAGTGAGAATGAATAATTGGTCACAAATTACCCAATTAGTTGCATAGTCCAACACCTTCTCTGCTATCCTTTATTGGCTTGCAGCACACTGTACACATTTTGATTATTATGAGGGTTTCATTGTTACCCTAGCAAATGGCTTACTTTTTGTTTACCGTTGGACTACTCTTAATCTTTCAATTGAGTGATTTAAAAGTAAATCAGCCATCTTTGTCCAATAAAATCACTGCAGTAAGGGACATAATAAGCATTGGAATTAAAGCCAGAAGTTTTACTTTTACGTTTTTATGGCTTCAGCTAAGAAATCTGGGAATTGAAAGTTTATTGAGACCAAAACATTTTTATGTTAGAGATATTTAGTCTCTTTAGATATTTCTAAGGTTTTCTGGACAAAGGAGAAGCCACTCACATATTCACAGGTATTAGGCAGAAGGTAGCATTTTAGATTATTCCTGCATAAATAGAAACATATTTCTAATTTCCAAAGACAGTGGAGTCATTAGCAGGAAGGTCTACAACTCATAGAGTACATGCTTTATGAAGGATCCAATCCGGGTCAGTCACCAGGACCAGAGGTTTTGTCTTCTGAGCTTTTGGACTCATGCTGGAGTTCATCTTCAGGGAACTTCTCTGTAGCAGAATGTGTGCTGTTCTGTGTGCTCTGATAGAAACAGGCTTGTTCTGTATTCTTTTGCACAGGACACATCATCACCAGGAAGTACCAAGTAGACATTTTCAACTATTCAATTATGACACCTGGATACTGGGTACATATACTGCTCAGAGTTGATAATGACTACAGCGATTTATAAAGCCACCCAGCCAGCCATGCAGCGCTTAATAAATCAGTCTAGTCTTTTTGCTTAAACTTTTGCTTACACTAAATAAACAAACCATACTAATAACATGCATAGCATCTGTTGTGCATCCACTTTAATTTTTGCTTCAGTGAACCAACACTACCAGATTGGAGGCCATATACTAGTACAAAATATCAGCCAGCCAAGAGACAATTTAGAACCACAGCAGTATGATCTTTTATATAACCTGAAAACATCTTTCAGTGCTTTGCTCAGCACCCTTACATATATCCGTAATCCAGGGGTGGGCTTCAAAAATTTTAGCAAAGGGTTTGCTGCCCAGTTGCTGGGTGGGCCTGGCCATGGTGGGCATGGCCTAGTCTGCCTCCTGCACCACCTCCCGACCCTCCACACATACCCTGCACTTACCTGCATCCAAAATGGGCCATGTGGGGACTCTTGGGAGGGGCGGGGTGGGGTGGGGCAGACAGGAATGGGACTTGTGGGATCTCTGAACTGCAGAGAATTGTAGCTAGGGGCTCTCTCAAACCCCTGCAAACCCCCAGCAGCCCACCCCTACCCTAATCCTCTCCACAAAGAATGAATACTGGTTTCACTTACAATTTCACCTCTGGATCCCTTTTCTCCCCTGTATCCCTGGGGAAAAAATGAAATTACATTAATCTTTTATGTCCTGCTTTCAATCACACTGAGATGTACTGATATCTAAACACTTACATGAAGAAATGCATCAACATTAATTCAGCTGTATGAATATTTACAGAAAGGCATTTACTTTTTTACTGGATGAAAATTAATAACTTTATAAAACTTAGCGTATTGTCCTAAAAGCTTGCAAGGAATTTACATAGCATGTTTTTTTTAAAAAATAAACCTTTCTGTTTTAGTTTCCATGTATAGTAATTCATAAATAACATAAATTTAATCTGCAAAATCTGCTTGTGCTTCACCTTTTTAAAAATGTGTGTCTTAATTCAATTTATAGTTCAGTGTAATTCTGTCTGCTATATTTCACCTACTGTATGTTTAGGTACAAATCTATGGTAAATCATAATAACTACATGGAAAGTTATAATTATTCTCTCATGCACAATGTACATATGTATACTTTTTGTTCAATCACTGAGGCACTTCCAACTCTTTGGGACCCATCATATTATCAGGCTTTGGCTGTCAGTAACTGCTTCCGTTGGCTATTTTGGTGATTGCCTTTTATTTTTCTAAGTATCAGTCTTCTTCAACAATCCCTGACTGCACATTCTATGTTCAATATATTTAAGCTTCAACTTCATTATTAGTACTTGCAGTGAGGACTCTAGAGTTTATATTAATGAGTTCTTATTTTATGACTGAATTGTCAACAATTTTCTCTACTATAATTCTTTTTTGTGTATTTTTACTTGGTATTATTACCAAATAATACCTATGCTTTTTTACCTATGTTTGCTGCTTAGAGTCATTAATGTGAGAAGGATATCAATTGAATAACATTAATACATTCAAAGGCATCCGTTTTTCCTTGTTTGGGTTCTAATATTTTTACAGCTATATATTACAGCTGGGAAAATCCATGCTTTGACAATGCATATCTCTATTGCCAGAGTAATATCTTTGAGTTTTAAAATACAGCAAGATGTGTCATATTTGTTCAATTTTCTTCAGATATTTTCAAAATTAACAGACACTCATTTCAACATCTTTTGGGTTTTTTTTTTTTTTTTGTATTTCAGGATATTTTTGTTTGTGCAATCTTTAATGATGTTACATATTTCAATGTAGGGTTCTTCAAATCCATCTAATCTATTAGATCTATTCCTTACCTTATGCTCATGATAATATGGATTATTGCAATGTAGCATTTGTTGATCTGATGAATTTGCTTTCTTTAGTTTAAAATGTAATTTTTCAAGGTGTTTGTGATCTGAGCTACAGTCAGAACCACATCTTGTTTGTGCACACCGAATGGATGTTTTCCAGATTTTACTGCTGTTTACCTATTGAGTTTGATTTTGGTGCTTCTCAGGTAATAGTACTGAGTTGTCTTTTAATTTATTGGAAGAAGGTATTAATTTATAATTAATTTATTGGAAGAAGGTATTTGCTAGAAATGTCCATTTTTCTTGACATATTCTTATAATTTTCATGGCATACTCTTATACCTATACATCAAGGTAATTTTTCCCACTGCCGGTATATTTCACTTCTAACATAGACTCCTCATTTGCTATAACTATTATGCTTTCTTCTGATATTGAATCAACACAGCGTTTTAAGTCATCCTAGAACTATGAGCCTTATGCTTCCTCTGTCTCTGTGATTACAGCATAGATTTGATCACGAAAATAGTAAGTAGATTGGTTTGTTCTGAAATTGAACTGACATTAAATCTATTATTTGGAAGTTGTATCCAAGCATTGATTTTGGTTCCTTTTTGTTAATAAGAAACCCAGTAATGTATGAAGTAGTTCTCATGTTCCTTTTAACCTACTGTAGACCAATCCAACTTGCTGATTTCTAGTATACCAATGTTTGAACTTAGCATCTCTGCCCTGGAAACATACATTTTGCCTTGATTCATAATTCTGTTGTTCCATATCAGGGGTGTCATACTCAAAGCCCGCGGGCCGCATCTGGCCCCCAGGGTGCTTAGATATGGCCCCCGGGACCACCCTGGAAACAGCAAAGGACCGGCCTGAGGTACCTCTGCAGCCTTCCCAAGCTCCATTTTCACTGGCAGAGGGTTTCAGGAGACCGTCCCGGCCTAAAATGGAGCCCAGGACCACACGCAGCCCTTTTGAGTTCAGTTTTCACTGGCAGAGGGTTGCAGGAGACCGTCCCAGCCGAAAAAAGAGATCGGGAGCCCATTTTCACTGGCAGAGCAGTCGGGCCACCACAGATGCTGACATGAGTGACAAGCTGGCCATGCCTCCCCCCCTGAGGTCAAACATAACCCTGATGCGGCTCTCAATGAAATCGAGTTTGACACCCCACGTTCTATATACTAATTGTATATCTTTAGAGAACTGAAATTTTATTTTGCTTCTGGGCATGTCAACAACTTCATCCATCTACATGATAAAGCACCAGTATTATTCATATTTGCTTTCTGCTATTTATTTGTTTGTTTGTTCTGTCTTTATTATTTTTATAAATAAGGTGGTGAACACAGCTATTTCTCTTTCCTCCTAATTTCCCCACAAGAACCCTGTGAGGTGGGTTGGGCTCAGAGAATAACTAGTTCAAAGTCACTCAACAGGATTTCATGTCTAATGCAGAACTAGAACTCATAATCTCCTGATTTGTAGCTCAGTGCCTTAAACATTAAACCAAAATTGGTCTCTTCCCATTAGCTTCTGATTTGGGGATTCATATTCCAGTATTATTTTAATATTGTCCTGGTATGAAAGTCCACTTAATTTTCATGGAAGAATCTTGAAATGGGTTGCCATTTCCTGCTCTAATGTATTTAGTCTATATATGTGTGCATATATGTTTCATTACATTGAATATATGGTTAATTAAAATGTTATATATAGAAATTACACAAATAATGTTTGGCTTATTAAGAATATATTTGAATGTTTCAGTACTATCCAAAGCATAAAACCACAATGAAAAGTAGCATTTGTGCTTATAATTAGGACTCTCCTACATGTGTATTTTTTCCTGCTAAAAATAAGCAATTATCTAATTTGTAGAAATTATCTAATTTATGAAATTTTGATATATTGCAACTTTTTAAATAAGTATTCTTTGGTATCAAAAATGTTTGTGAACTAAGACAATGTATCTTAGGAAAAATGTAGAAAAAGCATTACATGTGGGAATAAAAAATAAACGGAGATTTCAAATTGTGATGAGCTGCACTTACAGGTTTGCCAGCTGGGCCAACAATACCTTCGTAACCTACAGGGCCTGTGTTTCCCTGAAAACCAAAAGGAAAATAATTTGTAGAGCAATAACTGAATGCAAATGTTTTTATGAAAACTTCATGTTATGTCATACTTTTATTTATGCTCCATTACCAAATATATAATGATACTAAACTAGTTTCTGGGTACAATATAAATGTGTAATACAAATTTAGTTTATCTTGTTTTTATTTTCATATTTTGCTTTGCATTTCAGAGAGGCATTTATGAAAATTGGAATAATGTACTAAAGGTAAAGGAATTAAACTTCTGTTCCTTTAAAAACAAAAGTGAGTAAGTATTACATTTCATGTATGCATTTTATAAAACTCATATAGTATACTACATGCTGTAATTTAAGTTAATAAGCAAGATCACCATTACTTTTTCTAACAAAGTTATACTACTTTACCAAACAAAAATAATACAATATTATAAAATTATTTTGATGAATGGGTATTCAGAATACCAATTCAGAAGTAAATGCATAAAACCAATAATAAAAAATAATATCAGTCCTAGTCTAATAAAGTTTTAAAGACTATGTAAAAATATTCAAGGAGGAAGCCAAGAATATTTTGTGCAGGAAGAAAAAACTTGGTCTATGTAACAAAAACCCTTTTTTCCCCTTAATAATTAATTCATTACTAATTATTGTTTTGGAAAAGCTCAAAGTTATATAGCAATAGTACTTAGACTTACGTATTGCTCTGTAGTGCTTTACAGAACCCTCTGAGCAGTTTACAACTTTAGCATATTGCCCCAACCATCTGGGTCCTCACTGTACCAACATTGGAAGGATGGAAGGCTGAGTCAACCTTGGTCAGGACTGAACTCTCGGCTGTGGGCAGAATTAGTCTGCAATACAGCATTCTAACCAATGCACCACCAGGGCTCTTATCTGCTAAGCTTGGTAATTTGTGTACATATTAAGGAGGTAGAGGAACTTTGATGGATCTGAACCAGTGGTGGGTGGACCTTAACTGAGAAGGTCTGAACTATCTGGGAGAAACATTGAAAGATTTATTTCCAAGTGAAGTATTTTGGGAAACCATGATTAAAGACACCAGGAAGGATCCAAAGGATCCCTCTGCTCATTCCATCCAGATTTTTCTAACAGCTTAAGATAGGGAACGTAGTGATTCTAAAATGTAATCCTGAGATTAATTATGATATTCAGGATTACATTATTTTGTGCAATGTAACTTGCTTCATATATGTCCCTTATGTAATTGTTTCCTGACGAATGGAATTAGATTTGGGACCTACTTCATATACAGATTTGTTAAGATGTTGTCTTATTTATGCCTGAGTTCAATAGCAGATAGGAGAAGCTTCTTGGGAGAGATGGACCGCTTTAAATTTGCACCAAATGATTTAGAACAGTCCTTTTATTATGCCAATCAACCTCCTGCTTCTTCACAGTCCTATAAGACCTATGCCTGTGATATTAATGGCAGCTGAGTTTGACTTGTGAAGAACACTTTCATGTGGTACCTGCAAAAATTAAACTGACGGTATAGAAAGAACCACTGTAGAAAGCAAACATGAAACTTTGGTCATGCTAAACTCTCTAGAAAAAATACAATCAGATTCAAAGGACATATTAAAAACTTATATACCCATATCTTACCCATATCTAAGACAGCATCTTTAGCAATTTCCCCTGAAACAGGGGGATGAGGTTCAGGTACCCATAATTTTAAAATGACTGTGACTGTTTATTTTGTTTTTAACCATGTCACTGTTTACAATCAAGATTTTTATGGAGAAATAGCTTTATCTGAATGTTTTCTTGCTTTTCTCCAGACTGGAGTTTCAACTGTGATCAGCAGGCTCTCTCATGGCCTGAAAAAGCTGCCCACTTAATCTCTTAATCAGCTGTTTGAAATATTACATATTTTTTTAAATTCTAGTAGACATTGCCATCTGGTGGCCAGAATTAATGTTTTTTTTTAATAATGAAATTTGGTCAGCTGTTTAGGTTCTAAGAGAAGAGAATATTTGTAGTTCAGGATGGAACTGTGGAGTCCTGGGTACTCTCTGAACTTGACTAAATCCAGAAACTGCTAGAGAATTCCTGGAAGCCTAGAACTCTGACAAATGAGTCATCAACAAGCATGAAAGCAACATTTACATATCATTCATAAGAGACAAACAAAAAGTTAAAAAGGAAACAATTAAAAGACCAAAATACCTTGCCACCAATCAATACTCATATAAATAGGGATTAACATCAGGGTTAATACCAGACCAACAATCAAGCAGTAAACAGTAACCCGATCAAGGATCTACCAACTCAGAAAAACAATCGAACAGTAAATAACAGCCTAATCAAGGAACTACCAAGAAAAAAACACTCCCACTAATGCTAACTGGGAAAATCACTATATATAGAAAGCAAACCTGACTCCCTTCTAGCACTGAAGATATTTTCTAGTTGAGTAATGCAACATCTGCAAAAAAACAAACAAACTCAGAAAGCATCAAGGCTCTATTAAGATATTTTACTCAACTACAGCAAGAGCAACCACCCTAAGTCCATCTTGTGCTTTCGGTTTTAAGAATGCTTGGAAAGAAAACATTAGATACTACTTGGAGGGAAACGGTCTGAGCCCAATCTCAGAAGAAAACAAAGTACTTAATAAAGAAATAACATTAACAGAGTTACAAAAGGCAATAAAAAAACAAAAAAATAATAAAACACCAGGCCCGGATGGTCTACCAGGTGAACTATATAAAAATTTATCTGAAATATTTGAACCAATATTACTGGGACTATATAATGAGGCATTAACACAAGCTAGACTTCCGAGGTCCTGGTCCGAGGCATACATCTCCTTAATTGCAAAAGATGGCACTGATCAACAATTAATTGCGAACTATAGGCCAATCTCGTTGCTATATCCAGATTATAAGATATTTATGACAATATTAGCAGAAAGAATGAAACCAATTTTGAGTGAACTTATACACACAGACCAGAATGGCTTCCTGCCAAATAGACAAATTAAAAACAATATTAGGACAGTACTAAATTCGATTGAATACTATGAAGCTCATCCAGAAAAACAGTCAGCTTTAATTTTTTTAGATGCACAAAACGCATTCGACAATCTTAATTGGATATTCATGCTATATCAAATTAAAAAGCTGAATTTTGGCACTAATATAGAAAAAACACTACAAGAAATATACTCAAATCAAAAAGCAAGTGTATTATTAAATGGAGACCATACTGAAGATTTTGAAATTGCAAAAGGAGTGAGACAAGGGTGTGTCCATTATCGCCTCTGTTATTTATCTTGTCTTTAGAAGTGTTGCTAGCTGCAACCAGACAAAACCCAGAGATTTGTGGAATTAAGATTAGAAATGAGGAATATAAAATTCAGGCATTTGCTGATGATTTGGTATTTATAGTGGAAGATCCAATGAATTCGGGACCAATATTGTTGCAACAAATAGAAAAATTTGGGGAAGTAGCAGGATTTAAAATAAATAATAATAAAACTAAGATAATAGTCAAAAACTGTACAAAAAAACAGAAAGTAGAATTAGAAAATACAATAGGACTGCAAATAGTAAAAAAGGTGAAATACCTGGGAATTTGGATGTCACTCAGATGTTCATCATTAAAAGAGGACAATTATGTCAAACTGATTAAGCAAATCAGAAAAGAATTGGAATTATGGGCCAAATTGAAACTGTCTATATTAGGAAGAATACCAACGTTGAAAAACCTTACCAAAACTACTATATCTATTCCAAATGATTCCAATTAAATTAGAGAAATCTTTTTTTTATAGAACTAAATAAAATGACATCCAAGTTTGTCTGGTTGGGCAAGCAGCCACGTATTAAAATGAAACTATTACAAGGTAATAGGAGCAGAGGCGGTCTAGGACTACCAGAATGGGAGCTTTATTATCAGGCAGTGGTGTTGAGTTGGATTAAGGATTGGATTAAATTAAGAGACAAGAGAATCTTAACATTAGAAGGACATGACCTCTTGATAGGTTGGCATGCATTTTTGTGGGAAAATAAAAGTAATATACATACTTATTTCAATCAACACCTAATAAGAGATTCATTGATTACAATTTGGAAAAAAATCAAAGGTAAACACTATACAGAAATCCCACGATGGCTGTCAACCATGGAAGCCATGATACATCCAAATAGATTAGACCTACGGAAAATGGTAAGCTATGAAGAACTATTAGATAGCCAAGGGAAATTAAAATCAAACCAAGAACTGAAAGAAAATGGAATTATAATCGATTGGTGGCCATATTTGCAAATTCAAAATAATTATAAAAAAGACTCAAAGGTTTTGGATTTGACAAAAGGCAGAACCAACTAGATAAAATATTAATGGGACTGGAACAAATACTTATATCTAAAATATATAAATATTTATTAGATTTTAAAATGGAAGAGGAAATAGTCAAAAGTACAATGATTGCATGGGTACAGAATTTTGGATACACTATAGAATTAGAGGAATGGGAAGAATATGGAATATAAATTATAAATTAATGGTATCTGCCGCATGCAAAGAAAACATATATAAAATGTTTTATAGATGGTATTTATCCCCAACAAGATTGGCAAAAATCTACTCCAATATGAGTCCTAAATGTTGGAAGTGCAAAAAAGTTGATGGTACATTTTATCACATGTGGTAGATGTGCCCCGAGGGCAGGACATACTGGATTCAAATTAAAAATTGGTTAAAAGAGATTACTGGCTATCAGATTGAGCTCAGACCAGAATCCTTCCTATTAGGAATTATTAAAGAAAGACTACCGAATGAAGTAAAATACCTAATGTTACATATTATAACAGCTGCCAGAATAGCCTTTGCGCAGGTATGGAAAACACCAAATACCTCAAATGAAGAACTAATAATACACAAAGTAACAGAAAATGCTGAGATGAATATGCTAACAATGAAATTGAAAGAAAAAGATGACTCTGAATTCTTTACAATTTGGAACAATTGGTATAAATGGCTAAAAAACAGAGCAAGAAGTGAGACAAAAATGTTAATTGAAACAACCCTTAAGAAAGTAAAATAAAATTTTGTAAACTATATAAAGATATAAGAATAGTAATTATACCTAAAGATATTATTTAATAGTAGATAAACGCAATATAATGTATATTTAAATCAAAATCTTATATGGATGCCAAGAACGTTGTTGATACCATGATATTTTACAATGTAAAAAAAAAGAAAATTAATAAAAATTATTTAATTAAAAAAAAAGAATGCTTGGGCTCATCAAGGCTTTGGTAGAGCAGAACAGCAATGCGATAGACAACAGCTTTGGCATTTGATTTGTGTCACTGCTGCTAATTAAGTTGTTAATATTGATTTTAGTATTGATTATGACTGTACCTCACTTACAATTGACTGGCCTAGTGTGAATAGCTGTAAACAAGCAAATAAGTCTTAATAATCATATAAATAGATAGAACTACTTACTATTTCACCTATTGGGCCTTTTGGTCCCAAAATTCCAATTAAACCATGATCACCTTCAGGGCCCTAAAAATATAATACAACACTATTTATTTGTTGGTTGGTTTGTTTATTTATTAAATGCACAACAATTGGATAAAAACCACACATATAAAACACACACACACACACACACACACACACACACACACACACATAAAAAGAGTATCACCCAGTGGCCTCATCTATATGTTAAAAAAAGAGATGAAAGGACTTCTCATTCCATGTCATCTTTGACTGGAATTGACCATCATCTGCCATTTAATGCCTTATGTCTTAAAGATGCTTATTATTTAATAAAGCTGGTCGCAAAGAAACCACATACCTTGGGACCTGGAAATCCTTGAAATCCCATCAAACCTTGATCTCCAAATTCTCCCTGTAATATTTGTAGACAAAAGGATTAATACTTTGGAATGACATCTTAATAGATACTTTACATACCACAGCAGATACATACGGCGAGTCCTTTCTGGCCAGGAAGTCCTGGGGGGCCTTGATCACCTTGTGTCCCTGGAAGTCCTCTTCTACCTTGCTTTCCTGGATGTCCCCGAAGCCCTTGTTCACCCTGCAGCAAGCCAGAATGAGAATGAATACCTATTCTCAGAGACAGAAAGCCTTCTCAGTTAGACAGGAAACAGACCACACGAGCTACTTCTACTCTACAGTCGAGATCAAGTGGGGTACTAATACTACTTTATAAAGCCTTAGTAAGACCACAGCTAGAGTACTGCATCCAGTTTTGGTCACCACACTATAAAAATGGTGTTGAGATTCTAGAAAAAATACAGAGAAGAGCAACCAGGATGATTAGGGGACTGGAGACTAAAACATATGAAAAACGGTTACAGGAACTGGGCGTGGCTAGTCTAGTGAAGAGAATGACCAGGGGAGACATGATAGCGGTCTTCCAATATTTGAGGGGCTGCCATAGGGAGGAAGGGGTCAAGCTATTTTCCAAAGCACCCGTAGGCCAGACAAGGAATAATGGATGGAAACTGAACAAGGAGAGATTTAACCTGGAAACAAGGAGAAACTTTCTGACAGTGAGAACAACCAACCAATGGAACAACTTGCCCTCGGAAGTTGTGGGAGCACCATCACTTGAGACTTTCAAGAAGAGACTGGACTGCCATTTGTCAGAAATGGTGTAGGTTCTCCTGCTTGGGTGGGGGAGTTGGACTAGATGACCTACAAGGTCCCTTCCAACTCTGATTATCTGTTATCTACAGTAAACTACATTAACAGAATCTTGCAAGACTAAAAGTACAAATCTCCCACCTTTTCCTTTACACCCTCAGAAGTTAGAGAGGGTTTCTTTTGAGCTTCTTTCTCCACTCATTATGCAGTTGTGGGCTGTACAGTCTCTTATCTGATCATTGTTCCCTAGGAATCATTGCTTTGCCCAGCTTCTCAGTTTCTTTCTCACATGCCATTACATGAGCAAAGAATCTTGTGTTATTAATAAAAGCAATCCAAATAATTTTTAAAAGGTTAGGCACAACTTGGCTTTTACGGTGTTATTTCATAAGCCACCCCAGGTCCAGCTGGGTTGTCTTGTAAATTTATTTTATTTAGCATATTTATATAGTTGCCCACCTCACATACATGTGATTCTTGGTGGCATACAATACAGCAAGAGTTACAAACTCCACAACAATCTGAAAACGTCAAAAAACCCAAAGTACCTTTAGTCCTGGGAGGCCGGGGCTTCCTGGCACACCTGGTGAACCTTTGGGTCCATGACTCCCAGGATATCCTGCTAGTCCAGCTATTCCTGGGCTTCCTCTAGTACCCTTGACCAAAAAAAGCCAGTTAAACAGAGTCCCTTAAGTCAGCCACCCCATTTATTTTTTTAGCAGAGGACAAATTACAAGTTTTAATATATTCAGAATAGCCAGTATTATTTCATATATAAATTTGACTAGCCATATTCACACACTGTGATGCTACACCCCTGAAATAATAATGCCATTACAATGCTACTTAAAATATCATATATGATAGCATAGGTAAAGCAGCATAAATGAATACTAACTCTACAAACTAAATTCTAATTCAGAAATCACTCACCGTATTTCACAAAGCTGCAAACATTAATATCAAACTGACTACCTATACTAGTCAGAAATTCCACCAACTGCAAGATAAAGGTGGCTTCAGTTAAGACAAAAAGGAATTCTTGAAGCTGACCATCTATTTTATTATAAAAATATTAAGGTGAATATGCGGAAGGCATTGCTTATGTTCCCAATGTAGCACATTCTGTTTCTACATAAGTTTATCTGATGCTACAATGTAAAGTAAGTAAAGAAATGGAACTTGCAATACTAAACTTTTGATGCAGCTCCTTCTCAAAGAAAAATGGCTGGCATTATTTGCGTGGGAAGTGATGTCTCTAGGGAAATATTGACATTGTATTCTTGTGTAATGTTTGCTAATGCACATTACTGACGATGCCATTTTTTAAAGACCTCCATCATCACCGGAATAAAATTACGTCAACTGTTACTCACAGGAAGGCCCTGCTGTCCAGGTAAACCTGATCTTCCAGGATTGCCAGGTACACCTTCTGGTCCAGGGTTGCCAGCTACGCCTTTCTGACCAACAGGACCAGGTTCACTCTGAAATAAATTTGAATTCTGCTTGAAAGCTCTACACCATCTAGATCTACGTTATACCACTGACAATCTGACACAGTCAATAATCAATGTTATAGCAGCTCAGGTTGATAATACGGGATTGAGATCAGATTTGCTTACTTCATTTTAACTATATTTCCTCTCTGAGTGTATGTATTCATAATAAAATCAGGCTGCAATTATAAAAGTACATTTCAAGAATAAGCTATATTTTAGTGGAGCTTAGTTTCATGTTAATATCTCAAGATTGCAACATAAATATATTCCATTGTATATTTCCATAGGTTAAGGACATTCTATTTGACTTGCTATTTATCTTTTACAGATAATGTGCCTTTCTGCATAGAATAACCTAAATTTACCTACAGTGTTTCTCACAAAATAAGGCTGGGCCTTTTTTTTTTGACCCCTGAAAAAATGGGTAGGGTACGTCTTTTCGGGGGTGACTTAATTTCCTCCCCCATCTAGAGTGGCTCATACGCACGTACCTTGCCATGAGGCCGCTTCTATCGGCTGACAAAAGCTCCCCGAAGGCAAAGTCCCCAGCCGCTTCAGGGTGAGCCGTGGCTGCCCATGTCCTCTCGCCTTTAGGCAGTATTTTTCGGGCAATGGAAGCTCCCCGAGGCCGCTTCTACCGGCCGATCGAAGTGGCTGGTGACTGCATTTGGGCAGCTTCCATCGCCCGAAAGAGACTGCCACGCCTGCAGCCACGCCTCGCCCTGAAGCGGCTGGGGACTCTGCCTTCAAGGGAGCTTTCGTCTGACGATAGAAGCGGCCTTGCGGCGAAGGGAATGTGTGTGTGTGTGTGTGCGCTCGCCCCGAGGCCGCTTCTACCGGCCAATCGAAGTGGCTGGTGACTGCATTTGGGGAGTTTCCATTGCCTGAAAGAGACTGCCTCAAGGCGATGGGACATGGGCAGCCATGCCTCGCCCTGAAGCGGCTGGGGACTCTGCCTTCAAGGGAACTTTTGTCTGCTGATAGAAGCGGCCTTGCGGTGAGGGGAGTGTGTGTGTGCACTCGCCCCGAGGCCACTTCTACCGGCCAATCGAAGCTCCCTTGAAGGCAGAGTCCCCAGCCACTTCGGGGCAAGGCATGGCCCACACACACTCCCCTCGCTGCGAGGCCGCTTCTACAGGCCAATTGAAGTAGCTGGTGACTGCATTTGGGGAGCTTCCATCGCCCGAAAGAGACTGCCCTAAAGGCGAGGGGACACGTGCAGCCACGCCACACCCTGAAACGGCTGGGGACTCTGCCTTCAGGGAGCTTCTATCAGCTATTGGGGTATTCTAGCCTAGGCTACCTGCAGGGCACTCCTAAAGGCAAGTTTTCTCCCCATCCCCCCGCCCTTCCCCCGCCCATTTCTCTTCACCTTGTGTAGTTCTAACAAATGATGTGAGAAATGGCAGGGAAAAGCACAGTTTGAATAGGCCTAAATTTTGGGGGCGGGGCTTAATTTCACCTCATGCCTAGAAATCATGCTGAGCCTTCCTATTGGTGGAGGCCGTATTGTTGGAGAAACATGGTATATCTGTATTAGTCACAACTTAAAATAGAATCACTTCATCAATCAATTTACTCACAGGCATTCCAGGCTTCCCAGGCTGACCACTTGATCCTTTTTTTCCAGTAGGACCCTAGAAATTTCAAAATATTTATTAGTTCACAATCTATAAAACCTAACAATCAGTTAGGATTCTGAATTTTTCCACCATATTTTTTAGTATTTATTTATAAAATTTAAAAATCAATCTGTGACAAATATATTGAAGTATTATTTAGAAATGAATTGCTTGTATTTGTTTCTTTGGAATTTGCTCAATACGTCAAGCAGCGATGAATTATGCTACAATCCATATTTTCTCTCCAAACAGATTCAAGTGGATTTTTACTGTAGCCATGATCCAGGAAAACAAGGAAGTTAGTGTTTTCATCATCCAGTCCAAATCTTCCAAATTTGAAGCTAGATAAGAAATTACCCAGAGCTACTGCTGTTGTTCACTCTGAGCAGGCAAATCCTTAGGCAACAAATAGGAAATTTCATGTTGTCATTAAGTTTGGCCAATTCCTATTGGGAATATTTTTGGTTTTATTACAAAAGAGGCAGGTTCAACAATAAATCTCTGTGTTATACTAATAAAGTGATGTGTTTTATTATTTATAGTTATATTATTTGCATAATTGTTTTTTGTGTGATTTTTGCATTGTTTTACTTGCTTTGCCCTGCTGTAATTTTTATATCTAAGTTAAATTTATTCTTCCTTTTATCTATTTTTCCACTGTCAATCCTTTTCACTTTTCTTCTTCTTTTAGCTACACTGGAATACTAACATCTGCTGATCTGTATTGCCACTGGTTTGGTCTTTGTTGGCTCAACCCCATTCCATATCCTGTCCTAAGTTCTTACTTCCTAGATCCCTTTTCCTGGCTTTAAGTAGGGTATCACTGATGAACGGCATTCAGGCTGGGGCAGTTTAAAAACAGAGGTGGTGGCAGTGCTCTAGGCAAGGGGCGTCTCTTCTATTTATCCAGTCACAGGGATTCATTGAGGTAAGTTGGGTACATGGGGAAAGCAATATGTGTGAGTCATTATGCAAATGATGCCATAACTCATTCTTCTCATTTTGACATCATCATGGCTTATTCTGGATGTAGTTGCACTCAATATTGTTTATATCACCCTAAGTTCTAGGGATGAGAATAGACTTACAACGTAGCAACTAACGTAACAAACAAAGTCTGTTTGTAGACTTTAAAGCAGGGGTCCCCAAACCCTGGGCTGGGGACCAGTACCGGTCTCTGGCCCGTTGGGAACCAGGCTACACAAGCAGCAGGGCAAGTGTGCAAAGCTTTATTTGCACAAGCGCAGTATTAGGTTACGCATGCAAAACCATCCCCTGCCCTCCCTTTCCCTCACTGCTTCCCCCACTGCCAGTCTGTAGAGCCAAAAAGATTGGGGACTGCTGCTTTAAATCATTGAATAACTTTATTTTGATCTTTTCCCTTAATTTTCTACTTACTTGAGATCCTCTTTCTCCTTTTGGTCCTTGCTCACCCTGTTCACCTGGCTCACCCTTTGGAAAAAGAAAACAACAATATAGATAATGTTTGTATGATATCAAACCTGAGAATAAATGAAGTTTTTCTCACTTGTTTTGAAAACAAGTGCAGAATTACAATGTACTTTATTAGAGACTTACTGGTGGTCCTTGTTGTCCAATAGCACCTCTCAGTCCTGGAAGTCCTGTGTGACCCTAGAAACAAGAGAAACTATTCTTGATTAAGGAAGTTTCCATTTCTTTCAACTGTATAAATTCTAAAATGCTAAGTCTTGTTTTAATTAACTGATGTTACTATGGTGCAAGAAAGCAGCACCTCACTGAGATGAATTTCAGATATATCTTGTTATAAGAGAAGAGTGCAGTACAAATCAAAAGGCAAACAATGTCATTCAAAGGGGGTGTTATTACAAATACACATACACACTCATATTCTTTGATGTAGTATGTTAAGATCTATTTACACACATATTACCTTACACTTTAGCGTACAAAACATTTGTGTCTCTTATTCCAATGTATTTTTTAAAATCTTTTATGCCATTTTTGCTTGTTGATAAGTCTAAAATCTATTTTTCTAGATGCCTTATGGTATCTGCAAGATCTTGCTGCTTTTATTAAATGGATGGAACTCACTTTGCAGCATATGTTCTGTCCTCTTTTGCTATGAGGATGATGTGAAATCCAAGCCTTTTTCTAGTTCAAGTTCTGTATGATGCTAACATGTATATCAGGGGT